GCAATTTGAGACTTTCCCTTTTTTTCCCCCCACTCAACTAATTACAAAGAAGGATGTTTAAATTACTGAAATGCAGAAAGCCCAAACCACATTTTCATGTGGTTAAGTGCTCAGCATTTGAATTCATGAGACTAATGTGAATCTTGATTTGACTTAGTTAATATCAACAAGGAACTTCCACTGAACATCAGACAGGATCCACTTAGTCTGGGCTCAAGGAAACCAGCATTAACTACCCTGAGAAAGTAATTAACATAATTCAAAATAAGCAATTCCAGAATAGCCAGCTGAGAAAGAAACTTTTCTCATAGCCTCAGACAGATAATTTATTGGTTATTTGAAAAATAGCAGTTTATATCTCTTACAGTGAAGTACTTCAGACAACATGGACTGTTCAAAGGAACTTAAGGGACAGAGAGGCTCAGCTGTTATGCAGCCTTGGTCCACAATTAAGCTCAATTTGCTTAACTTCCAAACCTCACAGTTCTCCATTCTAGCCAGCACACGTGTGCACATCCTTTTTAGAAGGCAAAACCACTAATTCCTCTCATCCATCCCATCTGGATGGGATCTGACTTGGGCATTCTCTGCAGAACAGCACAAATTCCAGTTCAGACAGAATTAATTACTGCTGTACCAAATGGCTTGCCCTTGTCTAGGCAGATGCTTATCAAGGCTTGATAACAAATTGGTGACAGCCTCAAAAGGTATTCTGTTCTTGGTATAGTGACAAATTTGCTGTGACTGACAGCCTGGCCAGACACACATTGTTCTTCAGTGATACCTAGCATGATAACTAATACCAGTGTAAAGTGAGTCACATCTGTAGCTGTTTTACCTGGAAGGGTTGACTAAAAGGATAAGAGGATGAGCTGAATTCATCAGGCCCACTTTATTACCCCTTAACTTAGAAAATGATTGATTGGATGGTCTGGGAATGGAAACGTGTGAGGAAGTGTCACAGTGGCTGCATCTCTTGGACACGTCCTCTTTAAATGCATCAAACTCTAACCCAAACACTTCATCAAAGTGGGTGACAGGTTCACACCTGGCTCAGTGCTGCTGGTTTCACTGCGTCTGAAAGCAGACTCACAGACAGTGTGGTGTCTAGTTTACTTGCAAAATCAAAGAATTCCGATTTCAAGGGTTTCGTTTAAATGAAAATTCAGATTCTGGAGAAGAAAACAAAACCCACTAAAACAGGAAGGATGGTATTGTGGTTAAGTTTCTAGTATAGGGCTGTGAAGACCTGAATTATGTTCCATTCCTAGCCCTTCTGTAGACTATCTCACTCTCTGACTTCAAGCAAATCACTGAATCTCTTGGTGCTTCACTTCCCTTTTTCTAAAGATGATGTTGGTGATTTGATCAGTTTAGACACTGAGCACATTCATGTAAGAGCTATCATGGACAGTATCAGCACAAGAGAGGCTCTAACCTCAAAGGACAAATAGTCAAATATGACTCTATTTACTGAACCATTTTTGCAAGAAAATAGCAATTCTATATTAACTCCCACACTGATCACCCACTTACTGTACCAAACTCTAAACAACATGCTGTCCCACAGACACATTGGCCTGTTCATTAATCCAGATTCATAACAGAATCAGTGTCTGCTTCTATTCTCAAAAGCTAGGAAAGAGCTAAAATGGGGGGAGTGCCTGCTGGTTTCCTAAGCCTTTCAGGTTTTCTGATTTTTTTTTTTCCTGGAGGACTGTCCCTGCAGTGGGGATGAATTCAGCAGGGTGTGGAATGCCCCATAATGGAATTTATACTGTGGAATATCCCACATGGTATCACAACCTCATCCCTCCTGGTGGTTTCAGAGGGTGAGATTTGGAAAACTAACCAACAGGCAAATGTCTCCCCAAACGTATCCCCAACAGAAACAGTACTCTCCCGCCTTCAAAACCATCTTAAGAACCATGTTTTTTCTCTTGCTGCCTCCAGGTAGACCTTACCTGGCATCCCTATTCCCAGTGCTTTCTAAACAGATTCCCTGTCACCTTTGTCCTGTTTGTAGCCAGTAAGCCATGCTCCTGCTGCATAAGTGCCCACAATTCACAATTCCTGTGAATTTTCTGTCATTTTTCAAAACAATGTTTACAAAATAGGGCTAAGGACTTTCATTTTTAACTAAAGCTGAGTTTGTTCTTTGTCCTAACTTTTGGAGGTTTACTGATACAAACTTTCAGAGCCAAAGCATTTATTTTCCTTCTCTAGAAACAAGGGAGAAAGGAAGATGGGGTGATGTCTCCCAATAATTTTCTCTCCAGATTTTGCTTTTCTTTCCTGAGACCATCAGCAGGGAAGGAAACACAATTTGTTTCTCCACATGGAGAAAAATAGGCATTTCGCATGGAAGGCTTCGCTTACCAAATAGACTCTAAGTCTAATTCACCTTGCAAAAAGCAGCAAGTGCTCCTTAAGCTGCCAGAGCACGGGTCAGAATCACCTGGACTAGTAGCAGGGTTTTCACCTTGAGTCCTTTACCTAGAGCTGCTTCCCCGAGCGCTCTGTCCAGCAGCTGTGCCCCATTCCCCTTTCCGCAGTGCCCTCTGCTGGGTACAGTGACCTGCGGGATCCTGCTGCCAGGAGCCGCTCCCGGGCACGCACTGCTGAGGCCAGGGAGAGGATGCAGGAGAGGAAACGGAACGATGGGGATGGAGAGTGCAAAACCAAAGCATGAGTGGGTAAAACTGAAGATTTCCCAAGAAAGCTCAACTTGTGGGACCCTCACATCTAAACCCTCAACTCCTATCACAGAAACTTCACTCACTGTGCAAATCTCCTTCACACACTGCAGCTGAAGCCCATTTCTCCCGGGCAAGCCTTTCTAAGGCACATCATGGAGCACCCCGGACCACTCTCACTGTGGGATGGTGTCAAACTCCACAAGCTGCAGCCTGACAATCTTGGCTTCTGCTGTCCAAGCTGGCAGATTCACTCCATCACTCTCCTCTGTGACTGGGAGTTCACCTACCCATTTGAGCCTTGCCAAGCTCTGAAGCTTTGCAACTGAATATTATTACCACATTCCTGCTCAATGAACACGACTTATTGGACTGACACTTTGTCAGCTGCACTACTCAGTCCATGGCAGACAGACTGCATGTGCACCTGCAGGATCTTTCTTTCCCCTGTGATCTTACAAAATTAAAAATTACATGAGAGTGAAACAGCTTTCCTGGCACATCTACAGCAACCGTCAGCCAGCTCTGTCTCATGTGAGAAACACGCTCCCCGCTGTGCTGCACTACAGCTGTGAAGGGCTCTGCCCCAAAAGCCACAGACGGCAGGACGAAGCTGCAGCAGCAGGAGGGAGCTCGCTGGGCGCCCCGGGGGCTGGGGGAGGAGTCAAGAGGCTCTGAGCTGTACTTTTGGTTCTGATTTACCTTATCTTGACAGAGTTAAGCACTTCAGAACACTTTTCTTTGAAGTGTTGGGGGGAGGAAGGGGACTTTGTCTCGCCTAAGTAGACTTTAAGCTGTTAAGGGCAAGGCCTGGGCTGTGCTACCCTGTGTGAACACAAACAGTGCCACGTCCAAACCAGCCATGGAATCTACTCCTGCATGGAGCACGCTGTGCCAAAGAGTGGCAATATTGCATGTTCAAATTCTAGGGGAAGTTTCAGTTCCACCAGTCCTTCGTGCTTTTGCTATGAGCTTCCCCCAGCAGCTCATGCCAAACCTTGACTCTGTTGCTCAAAACTTGAGAGAGGAGTCTGAGCATAAAGTGAGTCTCTGTGCAAGGTTTTAAAATTAATGGCACACTGCTTCTCCGAATTCATGACAACTATGCTCCTGCATGACAGAACATAAGCAGTAAATTTTGGTGGCTAAAACATCATCAGAAATGTCAAGATTCACCCATTGTACACTGGCTGCACATCACTGTAAGATGCTGTACTGCCATCACTTTAGGTCAGTCTGTGATCACACTGGATTTTGAAAAGAATATTTAGTCTCAAAGCAAGAAATACATTCCCTCAACTTCATCCCAACTCACAAGGCATTGCCAGTCCCTCTCCCCTTAATCACCTGACAGAGACAATTCCTTTGCATTGTCACAAAACATCATGTTAACTACAGTGAAACTTCTTGGCCTTTAAAACGTGGTGGTTATTTAAGAAACATCCTCTTTGGAAGAAAGCACACTTTACTGGGCCTGCTTAAGGGAGCACATAAGACACTGGTGTGGTGTTTGAGGTTTCAAATCTCCTTCTGGGTGAGCAGGAGAGCATTCCAAGTCTCCTGCACTGGCTGCTGGGAAGGTTATAAATACAGCTGGGATTTGAACTTTGAATTCTTATTACTCTGGAGAAAACCCCAGGGAAATTCTGCTTTAAGAACTCAAAACCCCAGTGTAGCTTCTTTACAGTCTTCTCAGTGTAAGGATCATAAGCTTTTCTTAATGCTTTTTGCACTTTGAGATTATTGGTCTAATATTTTGTCCTTTCTTTAAGTTATACATTAGGTCCTCTTACCTCTTCTGTCCATGCTGACCTGTTAGCTCTGAGGAGAGCAGCTATTTTCACGTTACACCTCCCCGTAGTGGTTGCTTGCTTGCTTTTCTTCCCATTTCCCCCCGCGTTTTGAGGCTGCCATCAGAGCCTCATCCATCACCTACCTCAAGTGTCCCCCGGCCTCCCTGGGGCCTCAGAGCCCTTCCATGCTCGGCTTTCCCCCGCAGCACCTCTCGACCCTACCCACGGCCACCGCCTGCTCCAACGGGGCTGTCCGGAAAAAATAAAAAAGCAAAAAAAGGTAAACTCAGACGTAGTCGGATAGAAAAAGAGAGATTGAAGAGCATCCCCAGCGGCGGGGCAGGGAGCCCACGGGGCGTTCTCCGAAGGCGGCGCTCAGGGCCACACAGTGTTAAGGAAAGCGAAAGTGAAGGCCAATGTTTTCCGAGAAGGCGGGGAGGAGCCGAGCCGAGCTCCGCGTTAAATACAAAGCCGGGCCCGATGCGCCGCCACAGAGCGCTGGAGGTGCCGCTCGCCCGCCCGCCCCGCGGCAGCCCCGGCTCGCCGCGGCGCCAGGCAGGGCCCCCGCCGGAGGATGCTCGGCCGGCCCCCGGGGCCAGGACCAGGACTAGCAGCGGGACTGGGACTGGCAGCGAGTGCTGCGCTCCGGGGACGGCCCCCACCCGCGGCACCCCGAGGTAAGGGACGGTGTCTGCCCCGGGGGGTCCGCGCCAACACCGACGTGCGCCGAGAGGGCTCGGGCGCCGCAGCCCGATGAGCTCAGATTATCGGAGGAGTTCTGCCAGATGTGCCAAGAGCGTGGTGCCTTCGGGAGTCTTTGCCCTTTAATTTTCTTTTTTTAAATACATTTTTCCCCTCCCTTTTTGGCTCAATGCTCGTGCTCGCACAAACCTGTTGTGCCCGGTGTAAAACAGCGGGACAAGCACTAGAGGGAACACGCAGCGGGGTTTGCAGGGCCCCGCGCCGGCGGCGGGAGCCGGGGCAGCCCCGGGCCCGCGGTGCTCGCTCGGCCGCGCCGCCGCCGGGACCCGCCGGGCAGGGCCGGGACCCGCGGAAGTCTCCGCTCCGCCGCAGTCGTGGCACCCTTGTCCCAGATCCCTGCCCTGGCTTTCGGGCTCCGAAGACTGGCGCGTCTCCTGTTTGTCTGTGCGCTTTGGAACTCTCGCTTGGCTCCCTACGGCTTCTGCTAGAGAGCCCTTTGATTTTTAGATCGCGGGCTTAGTGCTTATTTCTCCCCAGGGTGTCCTAAAACTGAATTTTTAACTTTAAATACTGAGCGATAATCCTGGCTCAGTAATTGGAAAAAACTGGCATCAGTTTCCGTCTGCTGTGCAAAGCAAGCCGAATGCTACTTTCAGCCTGTTGCTTACCAGCTTAAGGATTTTATAACCCTCGTAGGTGCTAGAGGAAATAAGATGACTTAAATGAAAATAAACATCAAGTTGTTAAATTAGCACAGACAGGAATCCAGCGGCATACTTTCTTAGAAATTCTCATTAGCATGTTACCTTGAACTGTGAGACGGCTGAGGGATTCATTTCTGAGAATCCTTCAAGGTTTCTCAACAAGCTGCTGCTGCAGATCTATATCTGACTATAGGGATAAATCCTAAAATCTATGCTTGCCAGTAAGGTCAAGGCAGCCAGCGGAGATGTATTGAACCACACTGTCAGAGGCAGACATTTCAGGCCAAACTCATTCCTGGTGCAGCACTGCTAATTCCTTTGAAGTAACACGAGGGATGAATTTAGTCCCTCATGTTGAAAGATATATCAATAGGAAGCAATTTAGATTGGGCCACTTAAAGTGCATGTGATACAAAAAAGAGAGAGAGACTGCGGAGTAATGCTTTAAGGGTTCACAGAGGTTGATTTGTATAAGCTAGTAGGTTGGAGCATTGCTGTCCCAAGGGAAACTTGGGAGAATGGAAATGGCCTTTTATGGCTGAGCCTCAGGTTAACAGGAGAGAGGAAAGAAGTTTTAGGATTACTGTGTAAATTGACCGTGTTACAGGCTGCCCCTCCAAGTTACACTTCAGTCCTACTATGGAACCTCACCTCACTCTCTTCCCCAATTTTCTGGGAACACAGCCTTCATCCACTTTCTCTTTTTTGCACAATGCATGCACCAAATAACAACATTGTGTGCTGAGTTCTGACATTGTAGTTGGGAAGGCAGAAAAAATGGTAATTCAGTTGTAAAACCTTGTTGATTTCTTCTTTAAAAACTTGAGAATGGGAGAGGGTGTCCATGAGATGACTTCTCATTGAGAAGTCATTTGAGTTGCTAGGCCCTGAAAGGGCTCATAGCAGGGAAACTTATTATCTTGTGTAGCTGTTAATGATCCTTGCTAAATATTTTTGGAGCTCTGGAGTTTGCCGTAGTGATAGACTACTAATCTTGTCCAACAGAGAGCAGTTGTTTGCCTGCTGTAAATTGGAAAATGAATATTTAATTATATTATAATGGCTGGGAGGTGTATCAATGGAAGAGGCGGTCATTCAGCGATTGCCGCCGCCTGTCCCTGGGGATGGGTCTCACATGGTGTCTCTCCTTGGCATTGCAGAGTAGCTGCTGGAAGGCCGCCCCGCCGTAGCCGTGACGCTATGGAAGACCGCATCCGCTGCTCTCGGCTGTAGGATGGTAGCGCACAGCAAGGTGTCAGCAGATAATGCACTTGGAGCAGACCCAAGACGGCTTCTTGACCCTCCGGCACGGGATCGCTCCCAGGCACGAGGCTTCCCGGGCCCCGGCCGGCCCGGCGCTGTGCAGGCACAGGGCAACACGCACTTCCGAACCTTTCGCTCGCAGGCGGATTTCAGCAGCATCACTCGAGCCAGCAGCCTGCTGGATGCCTGTGGCTTCTACTGGGGGCCTCTGAGTGTCAGTGCTGCTCACGAGAAGCTGAAGTCTGAGCCCGAGGGCACCTTCCTCATCAGGGACAGCACACAAAAGAATTGCTTCTTTGCCATCAGTGTTAAGACTGCAACTGGACCCACCAGTATCCGGATTAACTTTCAGACTGGGCGTTTCAGCCTGGATGGCAGCAAAGAGACTTTTGACTGTCTTTTTAAGCTGCTGGAACATTACCTAAGCTCCCCGAGGAAGGTACTGGTTACCCCTCTTCGCAAGGTCCGGGTGCAGCCCCTGCAGGAGCTCTGCCGGAAAAGCATCGTGAAGAGTTTTGGAAGAGAGAACTTAAATGAGATCCCACTCAATCCTGTTTTAAAGGACTACCTGAAATCCTTCCCATTTCAGATATAAGTGCAGCATTAACTGTATAGGGACACATTAGACATGTGTAACAAAATCCATCCTCCTGGGTTTTTAATTATGTTTGACAGTGAGCAAACTTATTTTTGTAGCAGTTTACTGTATTTTGTGATGGAACCTGAACACTTGACTTCTTATGTTTACAAAAACTGTTTGCACAAACCTGGGGTTTTAAAACCCTGGCATAATTTTTCTGCCAAGCAGAATATTTTACTATTTTATAATATTTTTAATGATATTAACATAATAAACTTTATTGTCACAGTTTTTAAAAAAATGGCATCTCTGGTTTTAGTTTTAAAGGCTCTGACAGCTATCCTGCTGGGGATTAACTGCTTAACTGAGTGTGTAAGTGCAGACAGGTCTCCACATGGTCCTGCTTCTTTGCCTTAGCAAATTAGTCTTAGTGCTGGTCCAGCAGGCAGAGAATTCCTGCCTGCCAAAGCCTACAACAAAAAAGGGCAAGCAAGCAGAAAATATACTCAGGGTGAATGTGCCCAGGAATCCACCTCTCTCCTAAACCCATGAGAGCAGGGACAATCTCTTAAGACTGCAGTGGTGCATAGTTTTTGACAGAGTAAATCAAACCCTTGGCTGACCAAGCTGCACCAACACTGGTTTGCCTTATTTCTGTGGAAAGGTGCAAAACCCTGAGCTAGAGGACATTGCTGTCTGACATAATAACCAAACCCCATGAACCTTGGTGGGGAAAAATAAAACTGTCCAGAAATGCTCTTCACACACTTTAAAAGTCAGTGAATGCTGTATCATTGTGGTGCATTGGGGAAAGGATAGCTTAGTTCCCTTTGAAAATTTGCATACACAAATGGCAAAGGTGCAGGCATCCTTACACATAAAAAAGATGTTTCTCATCTTAAATTCCTCCTGATCTACAGAGCAGAAATTTGACATATTAAAAGAATCTATGACTTAGCTCCATGACAGGATCCAGAGAACATAAGCCTCTACATTTGCAGCTGTAATTTCTAGTGGCTAAACTGCATTCAGAGAAAGCTAGACTACATTAACTGTTCTGTTTCCATCTGCTCATGAGACACAAAAACAGTGCCCCCAGAAACTGCAGCTGTGAGTGACTTGAAATGCCTGATTTGGCAAAGTGTCACCTGCATTATGAGAAAGTGATTCTCCTCTCCCCCAAGCATTTCCTGAAATCCATGAAAAGCTGACTTAGAAAAACAGCTGAACCAAATCACTTCAAAGAAGGCACAGAGTCTTTCACAGAAATGTACTCTATCAGCCAGATCTACAGGGCTTACAGGAACTGCAGGCAGTAAATAAAGTAATCTTCAGAGTTTGGGAGATAAAAGGTCACTCCCCCTACTGTAATTCACATTCCTTTTAAAGATAAAGCCACTTTTAGGAGACACTGAGTGTATGTTCTATAGTGATCCTTACTGAATCATTTGTTTAATATTTACCAAATCAGCTCTTACTTCATTGACATTTCTTTGGAATAAATAGGTTTCCTCCTCAAACATGACTAAGGATCACTCAGTCAGGACTGGACATTATGAAAAAAGGGGAAAAACACACAGGCAGTATCACGTGAGTTTCTGATGTGTTGCTTCCCTAAAAACGTTCTTTGGATCAGTCCTAAAACAGCAGAAAGCATTTCTGCTTAATCCTAAAGCTGGAATTAGTTGTCAAATGATGCATTTTCCCACAGCAGCTGCAAGGATATAAATTTGGGAAGTAGTGAATGCTGTGCTATGCAGCAGATAGGAGACTGGAGCAAAGCTACTGCCTGCATGTGAATAGCATTGTTAAATTGGAAAAAAAGTCTTTGTAGGGTGAAGGCTGCCAGACTGGTTTGCTGTCAGCACAGATTGTTATCCCTTCCCCATACTCTTTTTCCCAGCTCCACACTACTATCTTTTAACCCTTCAGGCTCTGAACTGATGGCTCTTGCCCTGCTATACAGAAGAGTGCCCACATGATAGCATTACTGGTAGAACAGGCACAAAGAACTTAGAAGGTTCTCTGCTACCTCTGAGAAAACCAAGCAAAACTAGACCTAGATATAGAATAAGGGGCTTCCCACTGAGAGGTATGGAATGAAAAGCATAAGAATTGGGTCAATTTCATTTTCTTCCTGGCAAAAACAAACTGTTTTCTTTCTTCTATTGCTTTAGAGTAAGTTTAGCAAAAATAAGCCATATCTTCCCACATGAGGTGCCTAAATATCTTCATTTTGTCTTTAGTATGAAATGCAAATATGGGATAACTCAGGATAAAGAAATACATTACCAAAACTATAAATAAGGACAAGAAGGTCAGAGTTGTATAAAATGTCTCTTAAGAGGAGACAAAGCTGACTTGTATTTTTAAATTACATTATCTTTACCTGCCTTATTTTTCTTCCCCTTCCTTTCCTTCTCTCTTTCTCCCCAGCATACAATACAGCAGCCAGGCAGATCCTCCTTCTAATAGGTATATATGGCTTGCTCCAATGCAGTAAGGAAATCCTAACCACAGGATGTGTGTTCACAATATCACTCTGACTTTCCTTCTATAAGAGCAAGTGAAGGGCTCTCTAAAATGTCTGCTTACCTGTGTACACTGATTTAAGGGTGGTGTCACATCTAAGGAGGACAGCAGGAATCTCCTGAAGATTTCTGTAGTAATTTCAGCTGTCAAATCTCTCATCCTCAGTTTTAATAAAGTAGTAGCAAGGTCAAATGGGGAATTTGCAGTACTCTGCACCTGAAGTAATAGAAACATGCAACAGATTTTACTCCCTCCTGCTAAATAGTACACGAAGAGTGGTGATTCCAGTCCCTTCCCTGCACCCAGTTCTTCCCTCTGACCTGACTGTAGCTGAAAAGTAAACAGTCAATCTGTTAAAGGACTATGGGAGAATTTGAGCCATGCTCAGGAGCCCAGCAAAGCCATGCTTTTGAAGAGGCTGCAATATTCAGAGTTAGTGGGGAAGGGACAGCTTTAAGATAATGCCACTTGCAGCATGGCTGTGTCCCCAGAGCAGCAGGGTGGGCTCTGAGCAGGGCCCTGCTGGACCCAGCCCTGCTCCAGGGACTGCACAGGCTGCAGGACTGAGGCCTCCTCACCCTTTAGGCTGAAACACGTTTTACTTTCTGAGTAGTTCAATTACATACAATGCAACAGCTGTAAAACACTAACGAGAACAAATTAATAGACTTGTAGAAACTCACAAAGCTGTTTATTTAAGCCGTGGAGAGTTACTGAGTGCTCAGGAGGAGGAGCTTGAACGCCAAGCAGGGCCCGTGTGGTCACACTAATTCTGTTATGATTGAAGTCATTTACAAGAAATGAGCCTTCAGCTGCAGTCAGCAGTGATGCTATTTTCAACACACAAGAAAAAAGTGTCCCCTAGGGCAACACTCTGCCCATATCTAACCATCAATACTCTTCATCCTGCTGGTACTGAACCCTCAGTGGAACAGCACATCCACCTCCTGAGCCTTCTCCTCACATCCAGGGCTTGTGCTGGGCTGGCATTCAGGCCCTGGCTTTCCTGCCACCCTCCATTCACAGTGCCAACAGCTGTGAGAGCAATGCATTCATTCATTGATTCCACTCATTTGAGACAAAGGCAGTGTAACAGGGACTTATTTGGGACTCTACATTGCTTTCTGTGCTAAGTGTAAGCTAACAACTGCCTGTGCCCTAAGTTTCCAGGAAGTTTCTCCCAATTGCCACAAAGTGCCATTTTCATTGCCTCTGACTTGTCATACTTCTGCATAACTCAGATCCTGTCACTGTTTCTGTAGTTTTCATCCACAGCTGTTTCCCAGTACAGCAGCCAAATTTGCAACACCCTAGTCTAATTTGCTCCTTGTGTCACCATGGAATAACAGAAACATGGGCCAGCAGGAAGTGTAAAGAGAAGCCCAACTTCTCCCACACAAACCACTGCTCAAGTAGGGCAAACCTGCAAAAGCCAGAGTCAGAATATAAACTCCTGACTGACAGACAGCTGAGTTACCCACATGCCAGAAGTATTTCCTCTCTGTCTGCAGCTCAGTGACATGCTTTGGATGTAGCTATTGAAGGCAAGAATGACAGATGATTGTGCATAACAAAACAATTTCTCTATAGTCTTCAGCTATGAGAGGAGTACAGATACACTGTGAAGATGGAATATCAGCCAAACAGAATAAAACAAATAACTAGCTGCACCATAAGCCCCATTTGCCCAGTTTCTTTCATTCTGCTCTTTTAGCAAAGCAAAGTAGGATCACCTTTCTGTTGTCATTTTAATCTCAGTTAGTCTTAATTTCAGTTATTCTTTGTAGCTCCCAGCCAAGTAAAAGAATGGTAAATCTGGTCATCACTCCTAAAGGGATACAGAGGATACTAGCCAAACATCTGTAGCAAAATTTTAGGTCCACCAAAATCAATTACCAGGGAATGACTGACTTCTCTGCAGATAGTTTTATTAAATAACAGTAAGTATCTTTTTAAAATTAAATGCAAGAGCTATGATTGCATCACAAAGATTTCTTACTTGATAGACCCTCAACAATTTCACAGGCTGAGAATGCTCTGTTTTGATGCTGTGTGTACATAAAGTTGTGTGCAATTTCCTACCTCTGTTCCTTGCAGCTCTGCAGAGTATTTGCAAATCAGCCCTGTGCCCTTCAAACTGAAACTGCCCTTCAAATCAAACTTTCCCCAAATCAACTTCCCTACAGCAGAAACTAGTTATTACTGGAATTTGAGTCAGATTGAACTTTCAGGCTGAGATTTTAGGTCTCCTCTCAGGGATTCGAACAACTTCTGGTTCCCAGTCTGAGCACTGAAAACAGAAGATAAAATATTGTCCCCAAAATGTTACAACATAGACTTGACTGAGGCTTACAGATTTTGTAACTCTCAGTGTAATAGTCTCATTTGGCTATTTCTTGACCTGCCTGTGAACCATCACTGTTCAGACAGTCTAGACAGATCTGGAGGTGGAGCTGGTATATCCTAGAGACTCATGAAACTGAAGTAGGATAGGTATTATTTCTAACATTATCATTAGATTGAATGTGGGAGATAAATCTGCTACCCAACAAGTAAGGTTAGTAGCTATTTTCTTAGCTCTGCCCAGATAAAAACCAACAAACCTCTTTGCTAGACTTCCAGCATCTATTCTACATAAACAATCTGCTCAGAAATAGCTTTGACAAATGTTTCAGAAATTACTTTGTTTTCTGTCACACATTCTCATTTGCTCTCACCAGCTCAGTTGTTCACACCAGCTAATTTAAACAGCTGAATTAGATT